TATTAATAAGATATATAATGAAGCGACTCAGATATAAACGACTCAGTACATACTTCTGATACACTAGTCTAGTGATTATATCCTAAGTAAGAACTAAAAAATAAATAAGGAATTCCACAGGAGCCAGCATTTTTGTGGGCAAAATTATAATTAAGGTTTTCCGCAGTATCCCGGAAATAAAATCAATTATCCAATTATCAATTATCAACTACAAATGTTTTTGTTATATGTATAGTTTAACCACAAGCATGGCTGATGTGAAACCTTAAAATACCTTTAGTGATATATTTACATGTATGACATTGAAGCCAAATTGTTTAGCAATAGGCATTATTTACATCATAGAATTGTCCATAGTTCAAGTTTGTCCAACAAACATTTGGAACGGTCCCGATGTTGCTTTTCCTTGTGAATAAGGCAGCAAGATGATTGCAAGTCGATCCTATGAAGAACCGACTGTATGATAGAAGCTACACGTTTAAAGAGGTTCATAAGGTATGTCGACTGTTACATCTTCACCCATTAGGAAGAATGGCGCCCAATATTTGGGATCTTTGTATTGATTACTAGAAGTTTTCATTTCTGTCATAGTGAGCCTCAAACTTGTTCCAGCACTTTTCCCGTCCTTTAAGTTTCTGTAGAATATTTTCATGAACTCTAGTGTGGCTCCATCGTCGATGGCCCATAAAGTAGACACCACTGCGCGTGCACCAGATGCTAAGAACGCACGACACATGCCAATGACTCCTTCAACTGGGGTTTCACCGCATCCACTATGACAGCATCCCAGCACAGCTAACTTTGTATGAGCATTAGCCCTCTGAACCTCCTTCATCGTCAACAYATAGTCGGTTTCTATTGGAACTTTTCTCATTTTGTAAGCATCATATGACGGCGCCAGTGCGATTGTAGATTTCTCTACGAAACCATGTGCAGCTATGTGAATAACCATTGGATTTGATTGTCGTAGTTTTCTCAACACGGCTGGTTTGTTTGCATAGCGTCCTTTCAGGGCTTTAACGCCGAGAACTTGAGCAATTTCTTCCGCTTCTTTCTCAGCATTTGGTAGTGGTTCCACTTTCTCTTCTACACCACTGAGTATCACCGTCCCTACTTCAGGATTTCCGATGATTAGACTATCGTCGTAGTCTTGCTGAGTTGTTTTTTCTTTGTCCAAAAGTATTAATGTTTGAATTGAAGGAAGGATGCGAATATATTTCGTTTCGAACAAGCGGCTTCCATTTTTTTCGGGGTCCGGATTTTGCAAGGCAGCAAATGGTACTCTGAATAGTGGGCCATCTGGTATGATGACTAAGTTGTTTTCCAGTTCATCCATTGAAAGTCCTCTGAACAGTATGTGAAATAATGCTTGTGATTCACTTTCCATGCTGCTTTCATCGTCACCCTCAGACGGAGGACCCGCCCTCTCTCCTCTTGATGCCTCTAGTAAATGGTCAAGAGATCTGTTTTCACAATTTCGGACATTTTGAATTCTCATCTCTGACAAGAATTTATTGATGTGAGAATGAATGACTTTGTCACAGTTTTTTATTGTTTGCGAATGAACTTTTAAATCTTTATCGCCTTCAATGAGAAATCTATGGAGGCTGTCTTCACCAACGAAGTAGAATAGAATACTGCAGTTGTAGTTTGACACAAATGAATGAATCTCGGTGAACGTCAGGCGGTCTCTTTGACACTCGACATCACGTGTCATGTCATACTTTCTAAGAAGTTGTTCCAAGAGTAATCTACCACGACAATTCTCTAATTGCAGCAGAGCATCTTCAACTTTACCCTTCATTATTAATGCTTTGGCAAGCAATTTATGACATCGACTTAGATCATGGAATAGAAAGATTTTGTCTTCCTCAGATGGGTAAAGCTTAGGTAAGCTTGAATGAATAATCAAGGGACTTGAATAATAGTCTACAATGATATTTGCATTGACAAGACCTTCCTTAAGAACACTTATTGCATTGTCGATATCATTGCTTTTGAAGTACAAATCACCTTGAGAGTACAAGGAAATGAACGAAGTATATATACTGCCTGATTTATTTGCATAGGAGAATGCAAGTTGATATGCTTGAATTGCTTCCTGGTAATTACTTTGTAGTTCATGACACTGCCCAATTTTGAAAAAGCAAAATGCATTTTTCATGACCTGCGGAATACCAATATTAATTTCAATAATTAGTTGTAGACATTTGATGCTTAATTCATATTGTCCCAATTTTATATAAATGATGGACATCTTTCGTAGAGCTACCAATCTTTCTGCATCAGAAAGGTTGAGCATTTTTTCGTCGTCAGTCATGTTTGTTAATGCTACTGCACCGATAAATTTGGTGAAAAAGAGAATGAAACGATTTTCGCATCTTAACAGCAATTTTGTTGTAGTACTTGAATCCATGGCCGATTCAAAGTAAGAAAAGGCAAGATCGTGTTGTTCAAGTGCATTGTAGACATCAAAAARTTTAAGAGAACCCTCCACCTTTAAGTCTTGGTTGCCGATTTCCTTAGCAATATCAAGGAATCTCATGTTGTAAACAATAGAATCGTCATGTCGTCCATTTCTGATAGATCCTTCTGCAAGTACGCAACAAACGTTTAATTCCGTGATTTCTTTCCGTGTTTCGTTGACATTTTCCAGCCATTTTTTGCCGTAAGATAAAGCATYATCACTCAATTCAGCATTACTATTAGCAACAGAAAGTATCTCATAAGAAACGATTTCTTTGTCTTTATCACCAGTTTCCTTTGCTATTTCTAGACATCTCTTACCATACACAATAGCATCATCGTATTGATTGTTGTGAAGGCATGCATTGGCAAGTAATAGAAAACCATCCATTTCATTGTTTGTTTGATTATTTTGCTCTGCTATCTTTACATATATCTTGCTGTACTCAATAGCATCATCGTATTGGTTTAGTGAATTGTGCGTTTGTACCAGTCCTAATAAAGCCTGCATTTGATATTGACCTTTGTCATTTGTTTGCTCAGCCATTTTTAGACATTTCTTGCCTTGCGCAATAGCATCACTAAATTGCTTGTTGCAACGATATGCATAGGCAAGTAACAGAAGGCCACCCATTTTATCCTTAGTACGATGAATTTGATGTGCTATCTCTACACATCTCTTGCTATATTCAATAGCATCATCAAATTGTTCTAGTGAGTTATATGCTGTTGCAAGTACGAACAAGGCAGTAGTCTCTCTCTCTTTATCACCGGCTTTCTCTGCTAACTCCAGGCATGTTTTGCCATAGTCAATAGCAGCACTATATTGTTTTAGTGATTGATACGCATTGGAAAGTAGACAGCACATCCACATTTCACTCTGTTTCTTATAGATTATTTTAGTTATCTGTAGAAACCTCTTGCCATACAAAATAATATTCTCATACTGATTGAGATTTTGGCAAGCACTAACTATGATAGCACAAGCCGTAAATTCCATCTCAATGTCACCTATTTCCTTAGCTATCTCAAGGAATCTCTTACCAAATACAATAGCATCATTATAATTCTGTAAAAAGTAATTCGCTTTGGAAAGCTCTGAACAAGTAT